TTTGCGCTCCTTTAAAGTTTTTTTTCTCCAAACTTTTCAAACAATATGATGGAATATAAGTTGATATCAAATATACCCTCATTTATTTTTATGCAAAAATAGTACATATGACAAATAAGTATTCTCTAATTCAAATTATTTAATAAATATTTGAATCTATAAATAAAAGATAATTCTTAGCAAAACAACACACAACAACAGTAACAATATCAAATCAATTTCATCCCTCGTATCCTTATAAATAAAGTTCTTCTCCTCTTCCTTATTTTTAGCCATGGTTAGAAAAAAAGTGAAGTTGGCTTTCATGAAAAATCGCATTTAGAGAAGAGTTTCATATAGAAAACGTCTAAAGGGATTTTTAACCAAGGCTAGTGAACTCAACAACATTTGCGATGTTGAATTGGCTACCTTAGTTAATAGCTCTTACCATGATGAACCTGAGGTGTTTCCCAATCATGAAGTTGCGACCAGCCTCTTTACAAAGTTTATCGATCTTCCAGAGGAGAATATATCAAACAACATGAAAACACATGAAATGATGATCGAGAAAATCGAGATGGAACTTAAGAAGGTAAGGAAGGAAAACAAGAAAATGGAGTATACAAACCATATGTATGGATTGTTGAATGGTGAAGAGATGCCCAATAAGAGGCTCCCAGAAGATCTCAACAATCTATGTTATGCGATTAATAAACACCTCAAACTGACAATCAATGGGATCAAAGCAAAAACTCACGAAGAAGGTTCTACATCAAATACTCCTTAACCTATTGATGTACCGGTGGATTCAGGTGGGACCAGCTTTGACTTGCAATGGGCTCCTCTTCTGGTCCTTGTTGATGCTCCAGTACTATCCGAGATTCCTCTTTTGGTTTCATATACTATACCTAGTGGGACCAACTTCGAGAGTCCAAGGGCTCCTCTTAATCTATGTCCGCCAGTAATGATTTCTCTTAAGCTCAATTGATGATTCCTAATGCTCCTTCTCAAATGCCACAATTCATGTTCCCTTTGAAGAATCCTCCTCACATTGTTCCACATGTGGATCGTCCGCAATGTTCCTTCTTTGTTATTTTCACATAGGTATCCTGACATGGCTTATTTAATCCTTCCAACAATAATAGCTTATTCAACGCCTTCACCGATGATTGCTCCTCCAATGTCTAATTTAGTGTTTATTCCAACTGCATCACAAATAGACCCATTGATGAATATCCCCCGAACAAGTGCATCAACGCCAATGGGTAACAATGTTGATGGATCATTAGGGATTCCACTGAGTCCTTTATTTTCTGATTTGTTGTTTGAATGATGATAAGATAATGACTTTACTTGATGATGTATCATTCAACATTAATGTACAAGATCCAAATCACCACCAGAACAACAACTTATAAGGATATATGTGTTGGGTTTTATTTGTCCTAAATTTCTTACCATAAATAGGTTTTCCTTCTAGGAAAAGGTTTTGGATTGACTAATCCTTTTTCTGGTAGGAAAAGGTTTGGGACTCTATAAATAGAGGCATGTTTCTTCTAACTTAATCAGCAGTCACAATGTAGTCTTAAGAGCTTTGAGAGTTTTGGTTAGGTGGAGAATTTATGGGTCAAAAGCTTGATACGTTATCACTTGTGTGAACCTCCCATATATTCTGAGTGAATTGGTTGAGGTTGTTCCCCTCTGTATTTTGTACTCTCATATTTATAGTGGATTGCTCATCTCCTTTGTGGACGTAGGTCGATTGACCAAACCACGTTAAATCTTTGTGTCTTTTGGTATATTTCTCGTTGTCTTCTTACTCGTGGTCTTTTGAGGTTTGCATTGCTAGCTTCCGCGTTTACACCTGCTTATTTTCGGTCCTAACAATATGATCAATGTCTACTATTTATACTCTTTTATAAGTATGTTCAGATCCATCTTATTGGAGTATATTTATACTTCCAACTCTTTTATAAGTCTGTTAGGATCCATCTCATTTGAGTATATTTATACTTCAACTCTAATTTCTTGCTTTGTCAAAAAGGTTGTAACTTTTTTTGCTTACTGAATATGTTTTGTCTAGTTTTTTCACATCGAAGTTAATTAAAGTTATTCATCATTCTTATATAAGAAAATATTTTATGTCCCGAATTTATCAGACAATAGAGCCTCCTTGATCAATCAAATTATTGCCATGTCCTTTGATCAAATCTGGCTAGTAATAGTTTGATTATAAGTAGATATGTCTGCACTTCAGTTTCAAAATAAATTTCTAAGCATTACAATAGTTCAGAGTTATCAGATTCAATATTGCTGAAGTCTTTACGAATATCTACAAACTTTGATCATTGTCGCTCAAAATACATACATAGCGATAATTGAGTTATTATCTTTAATAAATTACCGCTACAAATCATTTTTATATAATGCACTTTTGTGTGGTTAATTAAAGTATGAGAACATTATAACAAACACTAATTATATTACTTTCCTTCATTTATGTTTTGATTTTAACATTCTTAATCAAGTTGTATAGTTGCCAAAATTTATAATCGTGATGGAAAATAAAAACAAAATGATGATGAATGAATGTTTAGGAGAGAAGATATTATTTTCTTGAGAACTTAGAGAAGATATTTAATGCAAATATTGCTAGGCAGGTTGAAATTTCTTCACTCTACTAAGACTTTTTGTTTATGTGGTATAACTATTGAAGGGCGTACTTGTTTCTTTGTTATATTCAAATGCATAAAAAAACATTGTTTCCTCATATAACATTTTAATATATATATATATATATATATATATATATATATATATATATATAACATTTTTTGGATCAAGAATTATAATTAATTTCCTCCATAAATAAAGTTTAATCACTCCAATTACTGGAAGAGACGAAATGGTATTTGGGAGAGAAAAATCATTTTTATTTTTCTCTTTGCAATGAGTTCAGTGGTCAAAAATATTTGATTTTCATAGAGATAATATTTCTAAAGATCACTAAATTTTAAGAATTTATCCAGAAAAGTCATTAAAATTTATTTTGTACAAAAAAAATCATTCAACTTAAACCTTTATATCAATAAAATTTTCCAACTTTTATCTTTGCATCAATAAAATCACTCTGAATCCAGTGAAATTTGTTAAGATGTATTTTGGTTTAAACTTTTCCTCACTCTAGCAGCTCATGGAATCAATATTTTTTTGATTGCCAATGATTAATATAGTTATAAAAAGGTTTTTTTTTTTAAAAAAAAAGAAGCTAATAGACCCAAATAAGAAAAGAAGAGATATTGTGAAGTTTAGCTAAAATGTGTTGGATTAAAATTATGAATAATATATAAGAACTTTATTTGGCTTGTTTAGGAGGCGGTCTTTGTAGATCGAATTGGATCTCTCATAGATCGCAAATTATTAACTTGAAAGTCTTTAATTAGTATGAATAAAACTGTTTTGATTTTTATGTTTGTTAAAAATTAATCCATTTAGTCAGTTTACTAGCTTTGACGAGAATTGAAAAGAAAGAAGATGACGAAATTCACAATAATTTAAGGGTATTTTGTGGTAGGCAAGTCCAACAAGCATTAAGAGTGATTTTATTGATACAATGCGGAAGTTGATTGATTTTATTGATAACAAATAAAGTGTAATGATTTTTCTAGATAATTTTTCAAAGTTGAGTGACCTCGAAGATATTAACTTCCTTTTGTATATGGTTAAGGATAGAAGATTTAGCGAGACTTTAGTTGCAATATTTTTTAAGTATTACTTTTGCTCGAAATTAATTTGAAATATTTTTTAATGTAACGAAAACATATTTTAACATGATTTGATTTTAAATATAGTTGAATACTAATCTTAAAATGAAACAAAATTATCTTTTCTTTCCTCAATATGTCTAAACACATAAATTGGACAAGTTTCTTGTGCACTTATACTATGTATTGTTTTATTCGAAACTAATTTAGAATTTTTTCTTATTGTTTAACTTTACTGAATAGTATTCTTAAAATGAAACAAAATTCATTTTTTCCCCTCAATATGTATAAACACATTAGTTTTGTAAGTGTTTTGTGCAATTATTTAATGTATTGCTTTTACTCGAACCAAATTTAAAATTTTTTTAATATAACAAAATAAAATTTGAGAATAATTTGAATTTTAATATAATTTAATGTTATTCTTAAAATAAAACAAAACACTTAATTATTTTCTCAATATGTGTGATCACATTAGTTTGGTAAGTGTTTTGTGCAAGTATTTATGTACTAATATGCCTCGAAACTCATTTAGAATTTTTTTAATGTAAGAAATTTATAATTTAAGCATGATTTGATTTTTAATATAATTGAAAGAAATATAAAATTTCTACGAAATATGGTCTCTTCAAAAATTGGAAAAAAAATAATAATATGCTATTACAAGCATTGCAATGGCAATAATCATACAGATATCAACATTTAATATTCAATAAATATTTCAATTTTATTAATAAATAAATTAATTTTTATGATATTATTCAAATATTTTAAAGATTAATATTTCAATATTTTTTGCCAATATGTCAAATTTTTATTTTTTTCAATATTTATCCTTTACATTCATAAATTAAAATATACAATTTTTCAAAATTTCTTTAATAAATATTTGTTAATAGTCTATAGTTAGTTTTTCTTTCATACGTTATACTTGCTTAAATCTAAATCAATTAACTTTTTTCCTAATAAGAAAATTTTGACTAAAAAAGATTTGTTCAATATGAGTTTTAACTATATTAATCTCAAGATGATGGAATCTAATTTGATATCAAATATACCATCATTTATTTTTATGCCAAAATTGTTCACATGACAACTAAGTATTCTCTAATTCAAATTATTTAAAAACTTATTTGTACTTATAAATAGAAGACAATTCTTAGCAAAGCAACACACAACAACAATAAAAATAATAAAACAATTTCATCCCTAATATCCTAATAAATAAAGATCTTCTCCTCTTCCTCATTTTTAGCCATGGGTAGAAAGAAAGTGAAGTTGGCTTTCATGGAAAATCGCAATGCGAGGAGAGTCTCATATAGAAAACGACTAAAGGGATTTTTAACAAAGGCTCGTGAACTCAACACCCTTTGCGATGTTGAATTGACTACCTTAGTCAATAGCGATTATCATGATGAACCTGAAGTGTTTCCAAATCATGAAGTTGTTACAAGCGTCTTTACAAAGTTTATTGATCTTCCAGAGGAGAAGAGATCAAAAAACATGAAAACATATGAAATGATAACTGAGAAAAGGATCGAGAAAATTGAGAAGGAACTTGAGAAGGTAAGGAAGGAAAACAAGAAAATGGAGTATACAAACCAGATGTATGAATTGTTGAATGGTGAAGAGATGCCCAATAATAGGCTCCCAGAATATTTCAACGATCTCTGTTATGTGATTAAAAAGCACCTCAAACTGATAAATGATGGGATCAAAGAAAAAACTAACAACGAAGGTTCGTCATCAAATGCTCCTCTACCTATTGATGCACCAATCAATTCTGATGTGACCAGCTTCGACATGCAATGGGATCCTCTTCTGGTCCCTATTGATTCTCAAGTACTATCCGAGATTCCTCTTTTGGTTTCATCTACTATACCTAGTGGGATCAACTTTGATGGGCCAAGGGCTCCTCTTAATCTAAGTCCACCATCGATGATTCCTTCAAATGCTCCTTCTCAAATGCTACAATTCATGTTTCCTTTGAACAATCCTCCTCGAATGATTCCACATGTGGATCTTTCACAGGTTCCTTTTTTGTTATCATCACAAAGGTATCCTGAAATGGCTTATCCAATCCTTCCAACAACAATAGCTTATCCAACGCCTTCACCGACAATTACTCCTCCAATGTCTAATTTAGTTATTACTCAATCGGCACCACAAATCGACCCTTTGATTAATATCCCCCCAATGAGTTCATCAACACCAATGGGTGACAACGTTGATGGATCACTAGGGATTCCACGGAGTCCTTCATTTTCTGATTTGCTGAGTTTGAATGATGATGAGCTAATGACTTTATTTGATGATACATCATTCAACATTAATGTACAAGATCCAAATCACCACCACAACAACAACTTATAAGGATATATGATCAATGTCTGCTATTTATACTCTTTTATAAGTCAATTAAGATCAATCTTATTCGAGTATATTTATACTTCCAACTCTAATTTCTTGCTTTGTCATAAAGATTGTAATTTTCTTACTGAATATGCTTTGTCTAGTTTTTTCACATCAAAGGTTAATTAAATCTATTCTTCATATTTATCTTAGAAAATACTTCATGTATCGAATTTATCAGGCAATAGAGCCTCCTTGATCAATCCAATTATTTCCATCTCCTTTAATCGAATCTTGTAAGCGTTTAATTATAAGTAGATATGTCTGCACTTCATTTTCAAAATAAATTTCTAAGCATTACATTAGTTCAGAGTTATCAGATTCAATGTCCCTAAAGTCTTTAGGGATATCTACAAAGTGTGATCATTGCCGCTAAAATTACATACATAGCGATAATTGAGTTATTATTATTAATTAATTATCACTAAAAATCATTTTTGATATAATGTACTTTTTGTGTGGTTAATTAAAGTGTGAGAATATTATAACAAAAACTAAATATATTAGTTTCCTTCATTTATGTTTTTATTTTAACATCCTTAATCGAGTTATATGGTTGCCAACATTTATAATCATGATGGATAAATAAAAACAAAATGATGATGAATGAATATTTAGGGGAGAAAATTTTATTTTCTTGAGAAAGTAAAGAAGATATTTAATGCAAATATTGCTAGGCAGGTTGAAATTTTTCGCTCAACTAAGATTTTTTATTAATGTGGTTTAACTATTGAAGGGCGTATTTGTTTCTTCGTTATATTCAAATGCTTCTTCGTTATATTCAAATGCTTCAAAAAAAATTATTTTCCTCTGATGACATCTTAATATATATATATATATATATATATATATATATATATATATATATATATATATATAAATGAAGAAAGATATCAAAAAAAAGTTATATCCACATATATAACATTTCTTGGATCAAGATAAATAATTATTTTTTTCTGTAAATAATGTGTGATCACTACGATTTCTGTAAGAGAGGAAATGGTATTTGGGAGAGAAAATTCATTTTTATTTTTCTCTTTGCAATGAGTTCAGTGGTCAAAAATACTTTATTTTTTCCTAGAGATAATATTTCTAAAGATCATTAAATTTTAAGAATTTATCCAGCAAACTCACTTTAATTTATTTTCTATAAAAAAAATCACTCAACTTAGACATTTATATCAATAAAATAACTCAACTTTGATCTTTATATCAATAAAATCACTCTTAATCCCGTGAATTTGTTACGATGTATTTTGGTTTAAACTTTTCCTCACTCTAGCAGCTCATGGAATTTATATTTTTTTGCTTGCTTATGGCTAATTTAGTTATAATTATTTTTAAAAAAAAATAAAATTCATAGACCCAAATAAGAAAATAAAGGATATTGTGAAGTTCGGCTAATCTTAAATAAAGGATTCGCTTTTAAATATAGTTGAATTCTAATCTTAAAATGAAACAACATTCTCTTTTCTTTCCTCAATATGTGTAAACACATAAATTGGACAAGTTCCTTGTGCAATTATATTATGTATTGTTTTACTCGAAACTAATTTAGAATTCTTTCTTATTGTTTAATATAATTGAATAGTATTCCTAAAATGAAACAAAATTCAGTTTTTACAGTCGGTATGTGTAAACACATTAGTTTGGTAAGTGTTTGTGCAATTGTTTTATGTATTGCTTTTTCTCGAACCAAATTCAGAAATTTTTTAATGTAACAAAACAAAAATTTGAGAATGGTTTGAATTTTAATATAACTAGGTAAATTACCCGTGTTTCGCACGGGATTGACCTATGTTACTAAGCTCATATTAATCATTTGATAATATTCAGATTCTCGATATATACACTACATTGTTAAGATCATTTTATCTTAAGGCAATCCCAAAACTCAAAAGTACTATTTTATTATTTTATTTTTTGATTTTTTATACAAAATTATGAATCATATAGATATTTTAAGTATAAGAAAGAAGTCTAAGAAATCTCCATGAAAATAGTTGGTCAGAAGTAATGAGATTTTCTAAATTCCAAGACTTAAAAAAAACATCAGATGTTAAAGAAGAGACCAAAAAGCCTCGAACAACAATTCTCCCAAGTAAAATGGAACATCACATCCATACAAGAGCATAATTAACTAATTCAAATGGAGGACCTTCGGCTCCTTTCTTATGACAATAAAATTGTTAGTATCATAAATGTTATTTCTCATCGTCACTGAAAAGTCATTACTGTTGCTTAGGTTTCATATCACCAGCCCAACTTAGTTGGAACTAAACCATAGTTATTGTTATGGTTTTATTATGCAGTTACAACTAATTAAGATTAAGTTTCATTAGATAGGAGGAATAAAACTTTGAGGAGTGAAACATTTCATAAGAAGCTTAATTAATGTATTTAAATTCAACTCTCCTATAGCAAAAAAAAAAACTACAAATAATAGTGGCAGAAATACAAGTTTTGTTATTAAAGAACTAAATATAATGAATTGAACCATTTCAACAGTTCTATGAGTTGTGGACTAAGAGGTGAAAAAGTAGTAATCTCACATTGCAATTAAAACCAATTTTCCTTGTTTATATGAAGAAACATGTAGAAAATGAAGAAAGAGACGATCAATTTTCAACCATCCTTGATGAGATTTTAAAAAAAGTTCTAAAAAGGTTACCAAAATAGTAAAAAGAAATTGTCATAGTTACATGAATAACTACAACTTATAGTAAAGATTAATCTCCTTGAAGTAGGAGGAAGAAAACTAAGGAATGAAACAATCTCCATAAGAAGTATAATTAGTGTATTTGAATTCGACTACCCTATAACGAAAAAAAGGTACAAATAATAGTGGCAGAAAATCCCTCTATTTATATTTAGCAAAGGGTAGGTCACAACTCTTTGGAAAAGTTACAAACCTTCGGAAGGTCACAACCTTACATAAAAGTCAAAACTTTTCATAAAAGTCATAACTTTTCATAAAAGTCGCAACTCTTCATAAAAGTCGTAACTCACAACTTTTCATAAAAGTTGCAATTGTTCATAAAGTCGCAATTTTTTTATAAAAGTCACAATTTATTTTTCATGAAAGGGGAAGGCTAGCTTTGGTAATAGATCAATAAAAGGGGAATCCTTGTTTGTGGTGGCGCCACGTAGGTGGGCCTAGGGTTCTCTTTTATATATATATATACTAGATTTTTAAAGGCCCATGATACGGACACAATACATAAATTCACAACTTAAGATATTATAATCCTCTCATATGCATCTCTATTTTCTCTTAGATACATCTATTTCCTTTCGAATTCATATCTATCTACTCTTGAATACATCCCTTCCCCGAAGTAATATGTTATTTGCAATGTAGACAACCAAAAAATGCATTCGAGAGAAATGAAAAATTCAAAATTCTTGTAATTGAGAAAACTTCCCAGATATTATTTAATTAGCCTCCGAGAATATGAGATTTCTATACTTTATACTATTTTTTTCTTTAGTAAATAACTTCAATACATTACTTTATAATCTATTCAAATGGCCATAAAACATAAATGTGTCGTTTACAACCTAAATTGAGAAAGTTAAATTCTAAAAAAATCTATGCAGCAAGGAAATAGAGAATTGTGTTATCTTATGAGTTATACATTTTGTGATCAAGGAATATATAAAATGTTGATATCTTTAAAAAAGTTCATCGATCTTCATATATATTCGCATGTGTTATCTATTTTTCACAATGTTAGTATCTTTGTTTTGAGATATTTGCATCATAAGCTTTGAATATGATAAAATATTAATCATTGATCAATCAATTCCTAAAGATCGATTTGAAGTCTTTCAAATCTCTATTTCTTCAACTTAAGTATAATGTGTTTGCATTTGACTTTGTCGATGAATTTTGTAATACATTTTATTATTTTCTTCGATAAGTAGAAATACTTTAAAAAATAAATTTCTAACTTCACAACAATAAAAACAATTGAGAAACCAACTTTACTACTATACACAATAACAATTATTGTAATGTGATATTTTAAATATCAAAAGTATTTATTCAAAAATAATTTTTGACTCCACAAAAATATAAACAATCATGAAAGAAACTTTATTTCGATATACAATAACAATTATTGTAATGTTATGTAGATTAACTAATTTTTTTTATACTGCACTTAATATCATGCCGTAAAGAAAACTCTAAAGTCTACCCCCAAAAAATAACCAATATATTCTTTTTCAGGTTGTTTATTTCCAAATTCATTTATTTTTTAGCTTTTTTCTTCCTCTATATTTCGAAAAAAAAGTTTTTTTCTATTTACGGTTTCTTTTGTTGTTCTCTTTAATTTTTTAATTTCTCATTTTCTTTAGTTTGAATTTTAATATTCCTTAGAATTTGAATGTTAAACCTTCTACGTTTGTATTTAACTTTATTGATGAATTTTGTGATACATTTTATTATTTTCTTTCATAAATAGAAATACTTAAAAAAATTGATTTATAACTTCACAACAATAAAAACAATCGAGAAATCAACTTTATTACTATATAAAATGACAATCACCGTAATGTGATATTCTAAATACTGATAATATTTATTAAAAAATAATTTTTGACGCCACAACAATAAAAACAATCATGAAAGAAACTTTATTTCTATATACAATAACAATTATCGTAATGTTATATTCTAAATTACAATACTTAATTTTTTTTTATATTACACTTAATATTATGTCGTAAAGAAAATTCAAAAGCTTACCCTAAAAATAAATAGTGATACATCATTTTAAAAACTATTTTAATAATCAAAATATGAATTTAGTGGTCACATTATGTAACATAATATTGAAAATATGTTTATGGAATATTTCTTTAAAGTGATTCTAGGAACAAAATGTTAGCTATTCAAACACATTTTACTTTAATTAGTTCTAAAATTTGTTTCTAAAATATGTCAAAACACGCTT